TCTGTCACAGTTGATTGTGTATAATTCTGGTTTGCGGGGTAGCCAGTTGATATTAAATGGTAACAAATCTCTGTATTCATCACGGCGGGCCCCCTTTAGCAGGCAGAAATAGAAAATGTAATCTCATCCACAACCATTGCTGTGCCTCAGGCAGTCTTTCACCCTTTTTACCGCTGATCCTCCCTCTGGGGCTCTGCCCTCTATAAAGGAAAGGGGAAATCTATAATCTAGCAGATGGCAGAGGGTCTATAGGAAATTCTATAATGGGGAAGACGGTGGTGATGATGATGGTCTTCGGGGTGGAGGGTTACGGCCAGCTCACATGCCAAAGCGCGTCCCGCATGGATAAACAACACGTGAACCCGCTCTGGTGGTCTGTGTCTTCGGCACGGGTGTCACACGGACCGAATGTGAGCTTTCTCGGAGGTGCTGCTGGGTGCAGACCCAGAGGCGAGGTGGTTGGGCACCAGCTCAGCCCTGCCTGTGACGGATTGTTGGAGGCATGCTTTTCGTAGGGAAGCAGAAAGAGAGTCTGTGTGTGTGTGTGTGTGTGTGTGTGTGTGTGTGTGTGTGTGTTTGTGTGTGTGTGTGTGTGTGTGTGTGTGTGTGCAAGAATGCGAATGTAGAAGAGGCTCAAAGTGAAGCATTTCCTTTCATAGTCGCAGTGCATAGGATGAAAAAGTCACCCACAGACTCACACAAATACATGCACACACACGCTCCTTCACATCCTCACGGCAAAATTACACGAGGTGAATACATGCATCCGTAAACAGGTAGTTCCAGACGGTAGCCATCCTTCATCCGCGGGAGTTATTTTACATTTTTGAACAGTTCTACCGGCCCTTGAATCTCTCCCTCGCCCTAGATTTTCCTTTAACTCTGGGATATCAATAACAAGGCACATTATTTGTAACGTTTCCTTTTGGGAACGAGGGGAGTCGGCGAGCTGCAGCAATGCAAAGTGAAGACTGAGGCACATCCTCACACTGCGAAAACACCAAATGTAGTGGCGAAATTTGATCTGACAGGTTTAATTGATTCTGTCTAGTCTTGTTCTGTACGTCTAAACTGCGCATTTTAGTGTGGCGGAAAGAGCTAAATTGGCGACATTAAAGAATTACATTCATCACAGACATGAAACATTCACTTATGCGATCAATTTCTTCTTCCTTTAGATGCTGAATTATTTTAGACCCAGTCTCGTACAACCTGCCCGCCCTACGTAAATACCTTGTGTTTCTAAACGTTTTACTCTCATCTGATGCATACAGTTCATCCCAAATGTAAACCTTTCAAAGATTGGCTGTATGCATCCGTGATTACTCAAAGATTAATCTTGTATTTAGGTAAACGGCCATTGTTGTAACCTGGCAAAGATGGCTTATCTTTAACAAAACCACATTTCATCACTACTTGTGGCTTCCCTGTTTAAATGTTATTCTGTGCTGTGTCAGCCTCAGTAATACATACAGCAGGGCAGCTGTATGACTTTTTTCCCCCCCTCTCCTATCTGTGGTGTGACATCTGCTGAACTTGTCGGGTGTTTACTGGTGTAACAACTGGTGTCTTCGCTCCCCGCCCCTCCTCTCCTCTCGGATGCTCCCCATTCCCCCACACAATGAATACACTTGCATCCAGCCTACAGAACCAATTGTCACACTGGGAGGAAGGCAAATCAAATCTTACGGCAGCAACTAGGCGAGGAGATTGCTTTTCCTCTCAGTGGCGGAGAGGCGAGTCCATAGTCCCCGCGACTCAGGTTTTACTGGAGAGAAATGAGCAAAAGGTGAAAAAGGGGAAAGCCACTGGGCTGCAGCAGCTGGACCTCAAATCGCCCACAGGTCAATTCTCACCCATTTCCTCCCCCCTTGACCCTCTCTCTCTCTCTCTCTCTTCACGCTCTCTCCTTCCACTCTCTTTCCACTTCTCTCCCCACTCATCCCGACACTATCCATCAGTCACCCAGCGACAGCGGGGACTACCCGCCTCCCTCCAGTCCTCCCTCCAGTCCTCCCTCCAGTCCTCCCTCCAGTCCTCTAGATGAAACGGAACAATAATTACGGGGATAGAGTGGCTCTATCCGCCAAACTGGGGCCGCTCAGATCACAACAACACATTGTCCAACCCGATTAAATAGCCATTTGTGGCGTCTTCGCTGTAGTTAAGCAGTCCTCATCCTCCCCTGCCTGAAACTTGACCTCCCAGCAAGACGTATTGACATGTCCTCCAATTTGAGGTCGGTCAGAAATGTGGGGGAAGACATTACATTTCTTTACAGGAAGCCCGGGCTAATGCAGCCCATTCTCCCCCGAAATAGGAGTGACGCAGCGGTGCCCAAGGTTATGCCTTCGCATGTTGACTCTTTCTTTATTACGCCTGAACATTTGATAAACAGGAAATGTGGATATGCTTACGTTTGAGTAACAAGTAGCTGCTGTAGAGGAAGAAATAGAGGAAAAAAACATTTTGGTTTGACCCACCACACAGTTAAGAAAGGTGAAAACCCTTTTGAGGAATGACATTATAGAAAGTACAGCTCCATCGGTGGACTGGAGGAGGTTGAGAGCTGGCCGGGGCACACGGCCTTCCTCTCCAGGCCGTGCTTACACAGAACTTGCCATCCCAACCAATTACAGGCTGCAGCCACACTGACATTCTCAAGAAATGTTCTATCTTGTCTTCTAAATTAAGTTTTTCCCTTGCTACCCATGCCTCGCATTTACAATAGTCTCTGACTGAATGCGAGGCCACTGAAGGAGATGAGGCAGTTTATTTCATGTTCACTGGGACCCAAGTGGAGCACGGGACAACACAAAACGTTATTGATCTTTCATGGCATTGTTTTATTTCTATAAATCTTTTAGGAGAAGGATATTATTGTTTGATAAAACGTGTGCGTGGCATGATTTATGAATTTGTGAAATAGAATGTGTTAATCATTAATTAATAACCAGTCTGAGTTGCAGTGTGTTGCCGCTGCAGCTACCTTTGATATTTAATGGAGTCAAGCTGAACGGGAACAAAAGGAGTCAGGGGTAATACAAGAGAACAAACATGGTGTGCTCCAAATTAAGAGCTAATAATAAAATGTTAATTAAATTCCTTTTTATGAATTATCCTTTCTGTATTAATGAGTTAAAGTTTAATTAGGGGTAAATGGTAAAGAGACAGAATGATGCTAACCTTCAGCGCAAACACATTGCACCGTAACTTAGCGAGCCCCAATCGGAGGCCTGGCGCTGCATTGTTGCCTTCCATTATGCACACTTCCTGGAAAATGAATTAGGAGTAATATAGGTGAGATGGCAAACAACAGCTTATCTCCTAATGATTGAAAGTGGACCCATGCGCCGTTGAGGATACTGACAGCTTGTCTCTGACACATATTCAAGTTCCCTAAAGTTTACAACAACTAAAGCGAGAACAACAAACGTCGGCATGAGCCAGATAATAATGCTGTGCAGCATATATGTCGTCTGTGAAGTAAATGCCATCAATACAGTCAATCTAAGCAAACACCGATAGGTATTTGGTTGTATCAACAAGCTCTTCCATTTTTCATGGACTGCAAACAGGATGTGGGAGCTATTTGCTGGAGCTAAACACCGCACACTGGATGCTGTGATCTGCCAGCGTAACTTTTATTTATTCATGTAATTCTTTCCAAAAGCGATCCAAGAAGAAGGGGACTAATGTTCGCCTTTTTTTTTTTTTTCGTCATCCCTCCGTCCTCACTGCTCTGACTCTCCAGCGTTGTGGATTCACTTCCCCCGCTGACGCCGAAAAAAAGAGTCCCAAGGGTTTTGCCCCATTAGCATCTAATGCGGAGCGTCGGCGCGCAGTTGCACCTCGAGTTTAAACCCAAATCTGTTTGGTCACCACGCATGACAGCTGTTCCCGGCCGCCGCTACTTCAAGAGCAGCCCTGTGTCGAATGTCTGGCTCACCTGCAATTGTGCTCCAGTGCCTGCATTAACCTCCCTTATTATGCGGGAGATTCTTTGTTCAGCAGGGCTTTGATATCGGCTCTGTAGACCCTCGGAAGTCTGCCATTGACTCTCAGCATTTATATCAGGATACAGTATCTGCGCCGTGGAATTTTAAGTGAAGGCTCTGCTTTCTTTCTGCAGAAAACACCTGCATCTTATCAAAGTTTGTCGAAAGGGTCGTGTCCTGGCTTTTCGCAGGACTGGGGAAGTCCTTTGAGAGGCTTTGATACCCTTTGGCCCCTGACATCTAACCGAGTGTGAGTAGAAGCTTGGCAGGCGCAGGAGGGGCTACCTGCTCGGTGAACACTAACTCCTCTGTCCATGTGCTCAATATTCTCCTTGCTAAATACATGTTGGAGAAAAAAAAATTGAACGTAGGGTGCCTTTGAACTGCGTTCTCTAATGTGGGTCAGAGATCTATCGCGTGCATATTCTAAAAGCCTTTTCATCTGCAATTGCGGAGTTAAGATTCCCCCGGCTCACTCTTAATTTCATCTACTTCCCTTGCATTCATTTATTTAATATTTCCACATTAATGTCTTCTCAAACATGTTAAAAGTGAAGAGTTCAGAGAAGAAAAAGAGAGGGGAAACTTTTCTTCTCTGCCCGATCGCCCCGTCCGTCCTAATGACTCCATTTTAAAGACGGCGGGCTGACCGGCGGTGGCGGAGGGATCGAGAGCGGGGAGGGTGAAGAGGAGACGAGAGGCTGCGCTCGCTGCAGCGCTCAACTCCCAGTCAGCCTCTCTGTGTGTGTGTTAGTGTGTGTGCTTTGAAAGAGAATAGGACTCAGCCTTTTGAAAGACCAGGCTGCTCACCGGGGCCTTTGTGGAAAATAACATTTCAACTGAAAGCCAATTACTTGTAACATTATTTTGGTTGCTTCCATTATTAAAAGTACCTCTCTGTGTGCCCCCACCCCCCATCATCCCTCAACCACAACCCCCCCACCCACCCACTTCCCCCCCCCCCCCCCCCCCCCCCCCACCCTTTACCTTCTTCTGTTACAGACGGAGAATTACTCCATTGACTCCAGTTACGTGAACAGCAGAGCCCACCTCATTAAAAGGTATGTGTTGATTAGGAATTCTTACCAGCACCTCGTTACTGTTGTTATCTGTAATTGTTTTGTCTAATGAGTGCACGGCTACCGTTGCAGCAGTTAGCATGCGCTCCGGTGTGTTTTCCATTCAGTGTAATTGCAGAGAGAGGGTAAGATTCGGGGATAAATATCATTACTCCGCAGTGCGTTTAGTAAAAAGTTGTTGGAACAAGCTGCTAAATCACGAGATTACTCACAGCAGCAAAATAAATGGTAACCAGATAACCTCATTACCTTTCTGTTATTTGCGTCATTTGCACAACATCTGCCTTAAACTGCTTTAAGGCGTAAAACAACCACTCAATGATTAAATGACATTCAGGAGACTTCGCAAGTGCATTTCTTCAAAACAGAATAGCTTCAGTAATGACGTTTTTTTGGGTTTTTTTCTCGGATGAAGAAGTTCAGAGTAAATGTTTTCATTGTGCTCGTGTTCTTCAACCTGAATAAGGCTGCGCGAATGCAGGATTGGAAGTTGGGGATGGGGGTCCTATAATAATACCCCGCAGCCGCGGTTTTGTAACCAGGCTCATTTATAAAACCACACTTCTTCCTTTCTACCTGCAGCTATGTAACATTCCAGTCTTTCTTTTGTTTAAGGCCGTCCCTTTAGAAACCCTATAATGGCAACTTCACCTCCCCCTCCGAGAAAAGATTATCGACGATAATGTAAACAAAGAACATTCAAGTGTGGGCCTCTGCAGCACACTACAAAGAAATCCCTCAGGAGCCAGTGAGCCTATGGTCTGGGACAGGTGCAATTACAGTGATAACATCAAAGGGCGGGCATTACCTGCAGTCCTCTCCCCCCAGGCTGGAGAATGTGAGGCTTGGGTCCAGGAATGCAGCTTCCTTGTCCTTTACTCCCTCCACTTTCCGTTTTCTCTCCTCCGAGAACACATGTTCATGTATTCACCCCTATTTGGTGTTGTTTGTAAAGCGGGGTTTGTTCCAGTGGGATGGAAAGCAAATGAAGGGAAATCATGCTGTTACTGTGCAGCTGTTGATTGTGCCCCCACCACCCCATCGTCTTTATTGACTGTGAGCCCCAAACAAGACAGATGCTCAGTTTGTATGCTTCCAGCGTTTCCTCCATCCATCTTCCTTCCAGGAATGCCTGATTACTGCAGTATTTGTTTGATTCTACTGAGCGAGTGCCTCCTGTTTGTTCAATGCAGTGTCCTTGAAGTCAGAGTACCCATCTGAGATGTCCTTGTACCTGCCACGCGATCTGCGAAGTTAAAGACAAAATTGTACACCCAGCCCCAAAAAGCCTTTCAACGGATTTAAACTTTCTTCTTATTCATTGTTCACCGCAAGCCTCGAAGCTGGAGGCTTTGTTTCTTTGCGAGAGTTTGCTATTCAACTAGACAACAACCACCAAAAAAAAATCACTATTGGTCTGTTTAGAATTCATGGAAACAGACTACGTAAAAAGGGCAAATAGAAAGGACATATATAAAAAAAAAAGGACAGGATGAGAAAGACTGACAGCTCGTCACAAACCATCAGAGACACGCGGACCAAGGAGAGCATGTGAAAGAAGGTGATGTGACAGTTAATCAACATATCCCTCTCCACCCTTCTGGCCCCCATGTAGCACATCGACATTCAAGGACCTGGAGGGGAACAGTCTGAAGGACAGCGGCCACGAGGAGAGCGACCAGACCGACAGTGAACATGACGTCCAGAGAGGACACTATGTTGACACGGCTGTCAACGACGTGCTGAACATGACTATCCCCCCCAATGTTTGCCAGCTGCCAGACCAAGGTGAGCAAATCTGTTGCTTTTTTTCAGCTTGTGTGCTCTGTATGCAAGAAGGATCGCATTCCCTGGAGTGCGTTCAGTGTCGAGATAAGACCAAAATGTGTACTTGTGTGTGTGTGTGTGCGCCGCAGCGTGTTTTCATGCCACAAGAGCATCTCTTAAGGTGCATTATGCCCAATTCGAGCTTCAGATGTGCAAGTATGAATAACATCACAGTTTTCTTTTCTGTCTTTGATGTCCTGCTGCTGCAGCAGCTAATGTAAGGAATCTCTGACAGCTAAGGCTAAGGCTTTGATACAGGCTCAGGCAACATTATTGACTGATAGTAGCCACGTCTGCCAACTTCAGACGCGCTTGAATGGCAGCAATTAGGCTCGCAAAGGTAGAAGGTGGAAATCTACATATCTCCACCAGCCGTCATCCATAATTCAGTGGGATCATTTAGCAGGGAATTAATGTTGATGTTTCATTTTGACTCCCCCCCCCCCCATTTAAAAAGACATCCACTTTGTTGGCACAAGTCAGCGCAAGGGTCGTGTTCGTTCTGCCATTCAGACAGAAGACGAGAGTAAGAGGGAGCGAACCCGGAGGAAGCAGTCTGGAGCAAACCAGTATTTTACTACGTGCACCTCGGAGCTGACACCACACGCATAGGTGTAACAGTTTAGCGCACAAGAGTTGGTCCGCGCGGGTGAGGAATTGCAGACATTTTAGAAAGACTCACATTAGCAATTTTATACTGAGGGAGGTTGAAATACCGGACCTTCTAAAAGTACACTCTTGAGCACAGTTCTCATAGAAAGCACTCGCAGTGTCCCAACTGCACACGTGTGTGCTGTGCTGCAATTTGGGAACGTGCCAGATTTATTTCTACTTCCCGTCAGTTGACGTCAAGATCCCGTTGGTTCCTTTTTTACTAAGACGGCTTTGCACCCTCACAGGGAAGTCCTTTAGGTGAGTACGAAATGACGAAAAAAGGAATTGTTTGTCAAAATACATAATTGGAGATCGTGGGATTTTAAAATTTGATTTATTGATTTATTTTCATCGGCGGACTGTGAATTGTGTGGGTGTGGTTGGAGAAGAACTAAAAGCACTGGAAGGCTTTTTTCCTTGTCTGGTCCTTGGCACGTTTAACTAACCAGATGCTTCAGCTGGAGCAATTGGGCTTTGGATGATGTTTGTCTGGGGAATAATACGATTAGGCGACCGAGAGCGCACACAAATGGATCTGCCTTCATGGCCAGTTGCCTGTGTGTTGTAACGCACCGAGAAATACAGATAGACATATATCAGGTCAGGAAGTGTGGTGACCATTGGAATGAACGTGTACGGGGCATTCCCTCAGCGGCGTCCGCCGGTAGTGAACAATGAACAGTGAACTTCCTGACTGTTGGTTGCCAGCTGAAATTATCTCACCCTGCAAAAAAATCCCGGGGCCAGAAACGCCGTCCAACAGTTCTTCTGTTGGTGGGATCTAATTATTGGACACAATTACAAATGATGTACAGTACATGAGACAAGTGAGGACTCCCCTCTGAGGCGGTTCTTTTTTCATTAACACCACCACTGACTGTATCTTTTTCAGCAAAATAGAAGCATGCCTCCTGAATTTATAAGTGGCTATTTCACAGTGTTGTACGTTCATTTGACCAGAACAAATAGATGATAACAAAGTATCTGTTTCGAATTACAATTAGGTAGGTTGTTGTTTTCTTCTTTTTTTTTTTATTTCACACAGATAAACACACTGTTAGCCAGCAATTTCCCTCAGTCGGGACTCAACAAAATGGCTTCACTGGAAGCTCCTCATCGCTTTGTTTAGAACGTCGGCCTGCAGCCGTCGTCACATCCCAGAGTAATGAGCTGCTGTTCATAATTATTAAACGACTTGACCAAAGATCCTCACACTTGCAGAAACGTAATGACGTAGCAAATGAAATTGTCCCAATTACCATCTCAACGGTCCAATTACACGGTTAAAGAGCACGGTGGGACGACAGAGATGGGCAGATTCAGCGTGACGTAGAGTTTAATCAGTCCTGTTTTATGAGGATTTTACATCATCAGGTTTTCTGTGGCGCTCCTCAGCCGAACACAAGCTCTTTCCCCTACTTCATTTTCCTCCGTGCATACTCGTTTTGAGGACGGGGCGGAAATAGATCAGTGCAGGTTTGTGTATCGCCAGGGCCGCTGTGGTTACAGCCATGTGATGATGTGGTTTCACTTTGAGCTCATCTGTCGCAATTGACAAAAAACGGACACTATCTGCTGGAATTGTCAGAAAACAAATAGGCATGTTCACTAAATATCCCGCTGTGTGGACGTCTTATGGGACCAACTCTGTTGAGTGCCAGCTAAAGCAGAAAACTAGTTGAGAGACTGCAATTGCCACAGGACAACAAGACACTCCAGCTGAGGACAGAAGAGGCTTGTGTTTCGTGTGTTTTTATTGTTCTTTTTTTTTCTTCTTGTGTTAAGTGCGGAGAACAAAAGCAGGCTTGAAGGGGGATAGAGGAAGGGTTAAACTCTCGGGGTTTTACCGTGCAAATGTTTGCTGTTCCCAGTGCCATGCAAAGGTGTTGTTTGCCCAGGAGACAAGCCGTTACCTTTACACAAAAGCTCCTGCATACCCATCATGTGTTGTGCTTTCATGTGGGAATCCAATTGTATGACTCCATCCAGCTGCTAAATAGCCCTGTGTTGAATCACAGTGGGCCTTTTTTTCCCTCCCTGTTGCAGTTTAGGAGTGATATTTGGCTTTTCTCCATCAGTTATGCCCCCACCTCCCCCCAACACCCCTCCATTCACCGCTGATGTTTCAACACCAATTCATTATTCCTGTATCAGCCAAGGTAACTTTCAGCGAAGTGCTTGAGAAGAAATTTTCGACTTAAATCTGAGCGAATACCTTTCTGTTGAGTCGCTGCCAAGACTCTAAAGAGGCGTGTGGGCTCTTTTTGAAAACCTGACCTGAAATATCTTCACCCAGTTTATTCGATTAGGAAGTATCTGAGGAAGAAATTGCATTAAATCTTTGAATCTGTAAAGGAGGGGCTATCTTTAACATGTAGTGGCTCCCCCATATCTGCCAATAGAATAGTGATATTTGTGTAACTATAAACTGAGAAGAGCTATATTAAATGAATTTGTCTTTATCTTTACAGGCATGTCTGCGAAGTTAGGGGGATTTGGTTGAAATGTTCGACATGCTTGCTGTGGCTCTGTTGATCCATTAGTGTCAAGGGAGAAGCGAGGAAACACTCGCAGGGGGCCGGTGACAAAGAGAGCTAAATCTATTTTTTCCCCCCCCGACTTCCTTTGATACTCATAGCTCACACGTTAATTCCCCTCGGATATGGATGAGCCGTGGTTTTTAAGGATTAAGATTCATGTATTGTTAAATCACTTGAGGGCTTGATGTCCCTTCACGCCGTCCGATTTAGCAGTTTAGAGGGTTATGGTCTTGGTTTTTGAATTATTTCCAGGTCAATGTGTAACTGTACTTTAAAAAAAAAAGCCCATTCTCCTGGCTCATTAGACTGAAAAGGATCCAAGACTGCTCAATTAGGGAACAGGCCTCTTTTATTTCTGACACATCCCTCGGCCTCCACCTCTGGAGAATATCTCTCACCTATCGGTTAGACCCCTCTGGGGTGTGTCCCGAAACCTGGAGCCCAGAAAGGAAAGCCCCCTAGGTGGGCCGCAGATTTTTCCATATTCCCTTCTTCCATCAGCAGATCACAGGGGTTTCACTGTCCTTAATTGTTTTCTTCCCCCCCCCCCCCCCCCGTCCTCCCCCTCCCCTCTCTCTCGCCTCACCCTCCATCTGTCTTTTTTTCCGTCTTGTTTCTATCTAGTGACTGCAAACATCTCCAACCCACATCCCCCAACTTTGTGCCAGTCAGGCAGTTCCCTCCCTTTCCCCTGTTGAATTAGAGAAAGAGTAAAGGCACGTCACATGTTTCTGCTGCAAACTTGCCCTAAATTCAACACGAGAACATTTCCAGTTTGCAGTTCTCTGATCTACTAACGAAAATGCTGACAGGTGTCAGAATCCGGAAGGCAGCAGGAACGGGGCTGTGCTGACAACACGAGAGGAGGTGAGAGGGAGACAGAGATGGAGAGATCAGCTGAGAGTCTAGTAAGCAGTTTTAAGCGAGGGGAAAATAAAAAGAGGCAAGGAGGAAACAATCTCTCTGACAGGTAGGAGTGATTTTTTTTTTTTTCTCGCTCTCTCACTCCAAGATAACTTTGTGAACGTGCCGGAGGATTTGAGTCATTCTTAAACAACATTTGATTGAATTAAGCTCCAAAAGTCATGATGTTATTCGGGCTGACAACGACACGTGTTGAGTTATGATATTGAAAGATGAGATTAACACACAAACTCTACCCTGGGACCATCCATTTTGATTTTGATTTGCCTAATCTAATGCGTAACCCTTGGCGGAGGTAAAATGGCTGACAGTGACAAAGAGCTCAGTGCAATGCAAGCATTAAGGAAGATAAGAGTGCAGCCCGCTGCACGCTCAAACACACTGGGGACGGCTTGCTAGCAGGTGTGGTGAGGTCTGTAATGAACGATCAAGATGCAGAGGACGCCTCTGAAATGTACCGACTGGAGGAATTACTGTTTAAGGAAATCCAATGTCATTTCAAGCTCTGTCCATCTGCTCTGATTTTTTTTTTTATTGCTTTCATTGCTGAATGAAACTGTTCTCTGGCTGTTTTAGTGGAAACATATTATCATTTTAAAAAGAGAAGACCAATATTGAATTTGCCCTCGGTAAAATAAACCTCCATCATTTATCCGTTATCCATCTAATGTGAATGCTAGGGGCGCCTCGTAAAGAGGAAACAAAATTTAAATGTATTACTTTTACTATTTCTTATATGTACTATTTCAAAAATATTGCATTAAAAAAGCCCACAACACCATAACAACAAAGCCTATGATCTAGTACACGATCTGGCGGTTTGTCGAAGTTGAAGCAGAAGCG